TGAAATGCTTTTTCCTTTTTAAAACTTTTATTATGCAGAATTTTGAATTAAAGTACAGAGATGAAATAAGACACTGTGTATGTATCATCCAGCACCAATAATTATCAACAACATCTTGCCAATCTTATTTTATCTCTCCCTACACACTTTTTTCCTGAAGTGTTTTAAAGAAGACATTATGTTATTTCACCAGTGAATACCTCTCTTTCTCTCTCTCTCTCTATGCTGTGTGTGTGTATGTGTGTGTGTGTGTGTATATACATACTGTGTGTGTGTGTGTATCTATCTAACAAATAAGGATTTTTCTTTGCACAGAACCACAATGCCATTGTTATTATATCTTACACATTTAGTAATAATTCCCATGTCCTTGATTATATTAAAAATTGTCTTTTAAAGTTTGTCCCAATCAAAATCCCAACAAGGCCCACACATATTTTCTTAAATCTTTCTGATCTCTAACAGTTCTTCCCCTTCTCAATCCCTTTTTAAGCTATTCATTTTTTGAGGAAACTGGATCATTATTTTGTAGGATTTCCCACATTCTGGATTAGGCTATTTGCCTCCTTGTGATTTGGTTAACTTGTTTTTCTACCTGCTAGTTAGATCTAGAGGCTTCCTTAGATTGAGGTGGTATCTTGTCAAAGAGAATTCTTGCCAAGTATCTTGTCTTTTTGGCAAGAATAACTCATAGATGGTGCTGTTTACTCTCTTTTGCATTGTTTTTTGGCAGCTGGCTGGTATGAGGATCCAAACCCCTGACCTTGATGTTGTAAGGCTGCGCTCTAACCAACTGAGCTAACCAGCCAGCTCTCTGTTGCATTGAATCAGGAGGCATTTAATGCCTTGTTGTCCCACTTTTTTGCTGTAAAGATTTATCAGTGAGTTCAGGTGTTGTCAATGTGGCCTTTTTCCTAGGTTGGTTTCCCAGAAGCAGATTCTGAGACATGATTTGAGTGAAGTAGTTTGAGTGAAGTAGTTTATCAGGATCTTATCTAGGGAAGCACAGTCGGGGGAGTGGAGAAGACAGACAGGGAAGGAAAGGAGACACTACAAGGTACAGTAAGTTGGTGAGGAGGCTACTGCTGTGGGTTCAGGGTTTATTCCCATGAGGACCTTTAGGAGACTGTATAGAACACGCCTCAGAGAGCTGAGAGATTGGTTTATTTATGCAGCTTTTATATGTCATTGAATGAAGGCTGCTGGAATGGTGGGGGTGAGAAGCCAGAAGGGGCTTCTAAATTTTAACATTCCTTTTGGATATGTAATATTGAATTCTTCAATGAAGAACTTACCTTATTAATTATTTGGTTACTCTGGTTATTTTTGAGTGTGTGGTGGACATTTCATTCGTTAAATATTTTGTAGAAATAATATGAAGCCTTAATGATGTTTTCCACTCCCAGAGGAGATTTATGCTTGCATTTATTGGATGCATGAAGGCACTAACACCAGGATCTCATTATTCCAACTTGAGAGATTAAGGTATTCTGAGAGATGAGAGCTGAGGTGCTCTCTCTTTGAAGACCTACTTTCAGTTTACTCTAACTCCTAGGACTCAGCCTCTTCTGGCTTATCATTGGTAGGCATTGGATACCAATCCTTGTTGCTGTAGCCCCTCATCGCTGTCAAAAGCACCACTCAGC